CATAGATTTATCAAGAGAGTATTCATTGTGATCAATAAAGTTGTCGGGGGGGGGGGGGTCTCTTAGACAGCTGCTCTAAGACTAGGAGTTCATATATTTGTTCAATGTTGAGGTTAGGTGGAAAAGTTCAATGGGTTGCCACCTGACCCACCAGATTAGAAGTGTTTCAGATACACACATTTAGCACAGAGTCAGAATAGAAATGATGGGGATAACAAACAAACAGCTGTGTGCTGTGGGTCATGAGATGCAGAGAGGGGAGGTGGGGGCAAAGAAAGAAACCATTTCTAACACTATCCTGCTGAGTTTATGCCTGATCAATGAAAAGTAACAAAATCCAGCAGAGTTGCATATTGTTGTAATTATGGCATGTTGTGCTGCCAGTAATGCTGCTTTCTCCTTCAGATAAGCTTTAATTATTCCTCACCAAGGCTTTTTTTTGTTTTAATTGCTAAGCTAAAAAAACGTCTGATCTTTTGGTATTAAAAGAATTTAGTTGCTTAGTGGAGAAGCTTGAGTCTCTCAATGAATCCCAGAACCTTCATTATCTACTTTTGTTTCTCTTCTGGTTTTCCTGTTATAAACTGGATCTGGATGAAATGGCAAATCAAAAGTCCTCATGGTAACTGTAGTATTATGATCCATGGACTGTGATCCAGGGTGTCGCGCAGGACTCCGCTGATGGTGCATGACCCTGAACAAGCGCTGTAAGCGTTTATGCTTGACGCTGGTGTAGTATTCTCAGAAAACACAGGGGGCAGTATGCTAGATAACCAGTGGAAATGTAATAAAAGTGGGAGGAAAAGCTTGACGTCACACACGAAAAATGGCTGCGTGCACCATAACATTATTTTTTATATCAATATGATTGTTTCTTGAAATATTTCCTAGATACAGTTTAGGAACATTAACAATAGAAAAGCTATAAAAACTGTTAATGCATATATTCCATGCCAAGTTACAAAAATTCGAAGATGCACTACTAGGTGCCGTGTCAGTGTGCGTAGCTCATGCAGAGGGAAAGGGAAAGCATGATTGGGACATTGCGTCAAGTATAAACCTAGCTTTAGATTGTCATGTTGGTGCTCGGTTTCTTTTACTATCCTGCCATTATTATCCTGTGATCATTTATTATACCCCCTCAGTCACCTCACAGACATGCTTCTCCTCTTAGCTGTAGTGTATTCTGTTTATTGGGTTCACCTGTTGGGAATATTAATCTGACAATATTATTTAATATTTAATATTTTAATATATCTTTAAATAATATTTCGGTCTGTTAAGGGTTGTCCTGTGAATACCAGCCCAGTAAGGCGATGGTATTAGGACAAAATTGAAAGGTGTGAGCCAAGCTCTGACATTATTGAACAGCAAGGGTTAGGGGTTACTCTGCACATATATGGAATGAATTCACACAGTTTCTTAAAATACAAGAATTTATTAACAAAAATAAGTCAACCCAAAGTCAAAGATTTTTCAATCAACAAACTCTTTACTATGCTAAAACAATCCAACTAAACTACCAAGTAGAATTAAAGAATAAGGAAGACTAATGGGCTATGTACAATATAAACAAGTTGATTAAAGATGATTGAAAATCATGACCAAAAGAGTGATGCAACATTACCATGCAATGTTTATGTTTGAGAACCAAGGATTATCTTGAAGAATCTGGAAATGAAGTTAAGTTAGTCTTGGAACCAACTTAGGCAATAATCAGTATACCTTTAGACAACCATTCACAATGCAAGATCAGATAAAATATTATTTTAATAAAATAATGTTTTAAAGAATGATCTGCTGAATAAAACCAACCTTCTGGATGACCATTTCTCAACGGTCTCTAATTAGCTGCCTTTATTTATTAAAATAGTATTTAAAGAAATATTATTGGAATATTTGGGAAAGAGCCAAATCTTTCTGGAGAAATGGGGCTTAATGGTGTTTACTTAGTTATCAGATTTTGTAAAATAATGTTTAGGTAGCTTCGGGCGCTGTGGCTTGCAAGGCGGCTCGTTCTGTCCGTCAACCAGCTGTTCATTACCGTAACCACGGTGATGCGGGCCGTTGTTTGTCCTCCTATCAGGCAAGGAAAACCAATTCACTCGGCTTGTAGAGACGGTGTCTCTGCAGTGACTGCTTTGAGACCGTTGCCTCAGCAGGCCTCGAGAGAGAAAGTCAAGCCAGGCGTGTACCTTAACTCACGTTTTTATGAATGAATACTGGGTACACAAACAGTTATTCAGTCATACTTAACTTTTGCATATGATCGGTGATCGTATGACACTCTTGGATCCAGTTTGAAGAGTTTATGTCTTTTTTCCAGCAAAAGACATTAGCTTGCTGTTCTGCTCCTGTCCCGATGGTCAACTGGTGTGGAGAGATCGGGCCATTGGAAAGAGGGTGCTTTTATACAGCCAGTGGCATCATGGGAAGTCCGCTGTTACCCCCCTTCCCCTTCTGAAGTTGTGCTGAAAGTCGGTTAAATGCAATTTATTTTGAAAACTCCAGAAAAGTGTGTAGCGGAGTTTTAATGTTGAAAACTATGGCTGTGGGTCCCAACACACCTGATCCTTGCCTCCTACAATCACTCCTCCTCTGTCTTTAAGCCTCAAGTTTTCAGGCTTTGCTTGCTGGATTCTACTATTGTGCTCACCCAGGTTCCTGTGTTCCGTTGTTCCTCGTGTTTTGCTTTGTAAGTCTATTAGTTTGCTGTCATTAAGTTATTACCATCATCATTAACCACCATGCGCCTGCCTTTGTCCTGTTAGTGTTGTGAAATCTAATAACTCCTTTCAACAACAACCAGAAAAATGACATCTAGTGTCGAGGGATCAACTAGTGAAACTGGAGGCTTATCTTGGAGTCAGGCCTGAGGAACAGGCTTGTTAGTGGTAATTCACTGACAGCAACTATTGAATTTATCAATTTAGAAAAACTGTAAGGAGGTAAAGCAGATAAACCATCATCTGGGTCTTTTAGTGTCTATTTTCAGATAAGCCACTTAAGTGAATAGGGCTTAAATTTTACAAAGTGTGGTACAACCAAGTTAATGTGTCATTATTGCTGTTTTGATTGACGAGTTTGTGTCTAAGATTATGTCCAGATGATATCAATAAAATTTAAACCCTACATTTTCTTATTTTAACTCATTGCTGTTCCTGTTGTTCAGCTATTTAACATGTTGCTTATGGGTTTTGTTGTCTTCCTTCCCTCAGCAAAGCATCATGGTGCCACATCCAGCTCTCCAGCAATCGACTGTAGATTTGAAACTGCATCAAATAACACGCCATAAATAGATACATCTGTCAAGGAACCATTTTATATATATTTACTGCCCCTCTCTGTTCTTATTTTTATGTGTAATGATTTAAATAAAAACATTCTTGGGGAAAAAATCCTTTAAGTTATTTGTGGTTGTTGGTCTAGTTGTCACTAAATCTTTCAACTTTGTTCATTTCAGTGGTATTTTCAGTCATTTGTTTCAAACAAATTATCTATTTGTTTCTTTGGATTTCTATCATCATTTAGTTCTTACAAATAAAAATCAGAAAAATGTGGCATGTACTATATGTATTTAGTCTCCCACGTTGATACCCATAAATAAAGTCTAGCGTAACTGATTGCCTTCAGAAGCTTCCTATTTATTAAATACAGCCCACCGTCTGTAATTTAAATCTGTAGCTAAGGCAGGAGGATCTGCTGTTAGGACATCTGTTAGCCACACATCCCGTAAACCTGGACTTCATGGAAAACTAACAAGAAGAATGAGAGAAAGCCATAAGAACTCCTGTTTGAAGTTTGCGACCAGTCATGTAGGGAACATTGCAAACATGGGGAAGAAGGTGCCTTGGTCCATTAAGATCAAGATTGAACTTTTTGGAACATGCAATGAACATCACCCTGAACACCTGATCTACACAGTGGTGACAGCATTATGCTGTGGGGTTGCTCTTCTCAAGCAAGGACTGAGAGGCTTGCAGGAGTCAATGGGAAGCTGGATGGAGCAACGACCAAGCCCTTGTTAGAGGCTGTAGCAGACTTTAGACTAAGGTGGATGTTTACCTTCCAGCAACATGACCCTAAACATCGTACTCGTACTCGTACTCGTACTCGTACTCGTCGTCTCCGCTTTATCCAGGTCGCGGGGGGAGCAGACTCAGCAGAGACACCCAGACGTCCCTCTCCCCAGACACTTCCTCCAGCTCCTCCGGAGGGAACCCAAGACGTTCCCAGGCCAGCCGAGAGACATAGTCCCTCCAGTGTGTCCTGTGCCGTCCCCCGGGCCTCCTGCCGGTGGGACGTGCCTGGAACACCTCCCGAGGAAGGCGTCCAGGAGGCATCGGGTATACATGCCCGAGCCATCTCAACTGGCTCCTCTCGATGAACTCCTCATGACGACTACTAAATCAAGTCACGTGACGTCGCCCGGTACGGCGGAGCCGGGGTCCCACCCTGGAGCGAGGCCTGGGGTCGGGACTCGTCGGAGAGCGCCTGGTGGCTGGGTTGCTCCTCGCAGTACCCGGCCGGGCCAAGCCCGAACGAGAGATGCGAGACCATCCCCCAGTGGGCCCACCACCTGCAAGGGGAACCTTGACGGACTGGTGCAAAGAGGATTGGGCGGCGGACGAAGGTGGAGACCTCGGCCGCCCGATCCCCGGATGCTTAGGCTGGCTCTAGGGACCCTAAACATACTGGTGCTAAAGTGTAAATCTGGCTTTGCAGTACAATCCTCAGGTCTTTTTCTCTATTTAGGTGCTATATAGGCAAATATATTGGAAGGGCCTTTCAGGATTTGGTTGTACTCTAGCCATAACCTTATATTATTGACGAAGAAAAGAAGAAACGTAGTAAACTGGGGATTTAATGGAATATAAAGATCTAAATAACCTTTTTTTTCTCTTACCTAAATTTGTTTTTTTAGACAAAGACAATTGTTTATAAAACATTACACTCATAGTTACAAATCTTGCTGAAAAGACCTTAAAAACAAGCTAGAAGGCGTGGCGCTGGTGGTGTAGGGGTTAGCGCGCGGCCACATATAGAGGCTATAGTCCTCAAAGTGGCCGTCCTGGGTTCAAGTCCCGGACCTGGCAACCTTTGCCAAATGTCTCCCCCTCTCTTTGCCCCTCCTTCCTGTCTGCCTACTATCAAAAATAAAGGCCTCTAGAGCTGAAAAAAAAATTCTCAAAATAAATAAATTAAAGCTAGAAGATTTGGGCAAAGAAACTAACGTTAAAAAATTCCCCCGAGTTGTAGCTATGTGAAGTTACAGGAACATACATCTAATTCCTATTGGCTGAGGTCAGGCTGCTTATACATTGGAACTGAATCAACAACTTAATTTCACTGATTCATTCTGGCCATTAAATCATTTTAGTCAGAGGCAAATGGAGAGCTGTTTGCTGTTTATCAGACTGAAAGGCTTCCTCTTCGCTCATTTAATGATAGCATTACAGTAATATAGGTGTTTACGATAGGTGTGGGGCTTATTTAGAGTTAATAAAATATTCCCTTTCCTATGTAATGAAGGATGCCGTTTGACATAAGTGCTTTTTGTTTGTTCTGTTTGGTCTCAAGTGTGAGGAGAGAACCATTAACTTGAGACAAACATTTTTACCAGCGGTTTGTGAAAGCCTTCTCTGAAACGAACGAGAGGAGAGGCTCTGATGTGCAGCTTTCTTGTCAACTTTGCTCGCTCCAAGAAACAACACAGTTAGAGAGAGGAAGTTTTTAAAATCGAACTTTTCAAATGCAAAAAAGCACGACTAAAATGTAAAGTTGTTATCGGTAAAAGAAATACATTTAGTGTCTTTTTTCAAGGTCTACCATAAAACAGCCTGAAGAATTTTTTATTATTTTTGTACCTGAGTAAAAAATACCAAATACACTTTTGAAATGATGACTTTATCCATTAATAAAAAAAATAACTATATTACTATATATTCACTATATTACTATGAAGTAATTGCCCCCTAAACCTTGTGACAACTTTGGTGGCAACAACCGCCATTAAACATTTGAAATGACTGACAAGAGTCTTTTACGACGCTGTGGAGGAATTTTGGCCACAGCATTTCAACTGGTTCAGAATTTGACTAGGCCACTCCAAAACCTGTTTTATTGAGCCATTAAGAGGTGGACTTGGTGGTGTGCTGCAGATCATTGTTCTGCTTCGTAACCCAAGTCACAAATTGATGGTCACAAATGATGGACAGATATTCTCCTTCAGGATTTTCTGTTAGAGAGCAGAATTCTCAGTTCCAGCATGTCATCCAGTTCCTAAAGCAGCAAAGTTGCCCCAGACCATCACATTACCACCACCATGTTTGATTATTGGTATGATTTTCTATGCTAATTTTAGGCCAGCTGTAACGGGATTCCTACCTTCCCAAAAAAGTTCCACCTTTGTCTTGTCAGTCTACAGAATAGTTTTTGAAGAGGCTCTGGGGGTCACCAGTGATTTTCATGAACACTGACTTAAGGCCAGAGAAGTTTGCAATGCTTTAGATGTACTGGGTTCTTTTGGGACCCCTTGGATGAGTCGTTCGTGCGCTCTTGGAGTAATTCTGGTAGGTCAGCCGATCCTGGGAAGGTTTACCACTGTTCCATGTTTTCACCATTTGTAGATAATGGCTCTCACTGTGGTTCCCTGGAGCTGTGTAACACTTCCCAGACTGATAGGCTCAATTACATTTATTTCTTCTCTCTTACTGAATTTCTTGTGTAGACTGGAGTCTAAAGTTGTCTTTTTGATTCCTTTGAGCCTAATTCATGTTGCCAGACAGTTTCTACTGAAGAGATTTCGTCATTCTGTAGGTCTGGTGATAAGGAGGCATAGGAGCGGTTTGAACTCAGCTGTCTATAACTAATCACTTTTTCACATTTAGGCAAGGTTGATTTAAAAAGAGAGTAAAAAATAAATAAAACTAAAGGAATCTTAAATGGGGTATATATTCTTCCTTGTAAATGCTGAATGGTGTAGGTGGAGTAGTTTCTTTTTATGAGGTATGGGCTTGTACGGAGGATACAGTTGACAAAATATAAAACAGTGAGTTTGTGTTTTTCAGTTAAATTTGATAATGCTTCACTTGGGTTTCCAGGATCCTATGCTTTGGGCTGAGCGTGCACTATGGCTTCAAAAAGTTACGATTTAAGAGTCGCAGTTAAGCGAGATCCCTTCAAAACAGCTAAACCGCTTCAAACCACAGCCAAACAAGATCCACATTGTTCAATGGCATGCCCAAAGTGGTCATAACCCTAGCACGGGCCCATAAAACGATTGTAATTGTATTAATTATCATATAATTTAAAAAATATGTTTTAATCTAGGGTCTATCCTTTTATTTTCCCAAAGCCAAGTGGAAATGAGATTTGGGGCCCTGTAACAAATTCAATATGCTCTTTATGTAAACACCTTAAAGAGCTCAAAGGAAAAGAGAGGAGGAAGAATTAGCCAAAATGCAGAACATAAATAAGAAGTTTCAAAAGTTAAAGTCCTTAAAGTTTGATACGTTCCAAGAAAACAGTGAATGAAGATAAAGCCACTGACAAACCCCCCTCTCCTGCCTCTCTGGCTGTTTTTCAGATAATGAAACAGAGCAGCAGACCGTTTCGCAACAGCTGCTTCCTTCCTGGATGGAGTTACAACTGTTGGAGAAGGATAAGAGACAAGAACGAGTCAGAGGCGACAAAGAGACTGCTCAAGAAAGTTTGTCAGCTCCCACCTTCAAACTGCAAAAGCAGTGTAAATAAACCGCCTGCTGAGCTCTGAACCCCAATCAGTACTCTAAAACCTTGCTGGGCAGAGAGTGATTTACGTCTCAAACTACACTAGTAAAAAAAAATAACAAAAAAACGTGTGAGAACACCAAGCACTGCGACATAACAGACAGGAATGCTCAGCATGTTTACTTTGAGTGCCGCTTTTCCTGGCAGACTGATGTGTAGAGCCAAGAATGTCTGCTTGGCACAGCCACAAGGGCAACATGTAAATGAGAAAAGAGTAAAACCCATACCTGGTCTTACCTGGTCCTGTACGATCATGTCTAATTAACTGGGAGCTGTGGGTGGAATCAGATCACATAATACAGAAATACTACAGATTAACCACAGTTTATATGGTGTTTTGCAATAATAAGCTGGAGGGGGTTTATTTTCTATGTAGGAGTATTGCGATTTTAGCAGTGAAACTTTAATGTTTGTTTAACCATTCATTTTAGTTAATTAAGATACGATTTCTTGCAAAAGTATCCATACCACTTGGACTTTTTCTGTATTATGTAGATTAACTTTTATTGCATTTTGACAGACACTTCAATGCATTTTATTGGGATTTTATGTGATTGACCAACACAAAGTAGCAGTGGTAGAGTTATGAAATTTGGAGGAGAAATTATGGAACATAGCAAACATGTGGCAGAAGGTCTCTAGTCAAATAGAGAAACTAAACTTACTGGCCAACATAATAAACACTACAAATTCTTTAAAATATTATTGAAAAGTTTATTTATTTCTGTAACTGAGTTTCAAATGTTAAACTAATATATTAGAAACATTCATTACTCTTGTTCACGAGTGGGGGAAGAACCGGTCGGTCTATGTTTCTACCCTCACCTATGGCCATGAACTTTGGGTCATGACCGAAAGAACGAGATCCCGGATACAAGCGGCTGAATGAGCTTCCTCCGTAGGGTGGCCGGGCACTCCCTTAGAGATAGGGTAAGGAGCTCGGCCATTCGGGAGGGGCTCGGAGTAGAGCCGCTGCTCCTCCACATCGAGAGGAGCCAGTTGAGGTGGCTCGGGCATCTATACCGGATGCCCCCTGGACGCCTTCCTCGGGAGGTGTTCCAGGCACGTCCCACCGGGAGGAGGCGCAGGGAACGGCCCAGGACACGCTGGAGGGACTATGTCTCTCGGCTGGCCTGGGAACGCCTTGGGCTCTCCCCGGAGGAGCTGGAGGAGGTGTCTTGAGTCTGCTGCCCCCGCGACCCGGTCCCGGATTAAGCGGAAGACGACGAGTACAAGTACATTCATTACACAGAGAGTGATATATTTTAGGCATCTATTGGTTTAATTTTGAAATGAATACCAAACTTTACACAAGACCATTAAAAAAGGACAATATATACAACAATGGGCCAATATTGAATAGTATGTCCATGTACTGTACAGCATATGTGATCATTACTTGGTACTGGCTCCTTCTGCATGATTTATTGAATCAGTGCATCGTCGCATGGAGGCGATGAGACTGTGACTCTACTGAGGAGTTAATGAAGCTCAGGTCTACACTGCAGTGTTGGTGTTTCTTATCTTCCTCTTGACGATGATCCACAGATTCAATAAGGGGTATTAGGTGAGGTGAGTTTTCTGGCTGATCACGCATAGTGATACCATGGTCATTCAAACAGATATTGGTACTTTTAGCAGTGTGGTGCCAATACCTGCTGGAAAATGAAATCAGCATCTACATAAAGCAACATTCAGATCCATTTTCTCTTCAGTTCTGAGTCTTTGGTTTAGGAGTGACTAAACACAAGGTATATGAAAGTTTTAGCCCATGTCTCTGAGTGTCTGACTCCAGCTGCAGTTCACAAGTTGTGAATCTCTCAAAACTCTTCAGTGGGCTTTACTTCACAATTATCTCAAGGCTGCAATTACCTTTGGTACAATGTGTTGCCTCTACACTTTTTTCCACCACCCTTTTTCCTTCCACTTAATGTTCCAATAACAGGCTTGGATGATGGACTTTGAACTTTAGCAGTGACTTTTTGTTGCTTACCCTCCTTGTGAGTGTCTGCTAGACAACTGTGAAGTCAGCAGTTTTGCCCATGATTATGAATTTATATGTTAATTTAATGAGATGCAGCTGTAGTATTATTGGGAAAATATGGACTTAACCTGCATGTAAAACCTTTGCTGTCAAGATATGTTATGAGTTGCAAAATGTGTGTGAGGTTATTACATTATTTTCTGTTCAGTCAATCTGTTGCAGATTTGATATGTGTTTGGGATCATTGTTCTGTTTAAAGACCCAGTTTGGACCAAAATATTTGGTGCTGATATGCTGTTTTTGTGTTCTCTCCCAACATAACACTGAGCAC